TCACAACAACATAAACATGATGAGGCTAAAATTATGATTTCTCTTTATGCTTTACGATTGCTAATTTGCCATAACATGACAATGATAAAGACAGCCTTTTCCCTTTTTTTTCAACTGGTCTTTTTCAATTCAACCGTATACATGAACCTCACTTAAAAAAATAGAAAAGGGCTCTGTAATTGCAAGAAAAAAAGGTTCTTCATTTAATAATTTGTGGATTGGAACTTCAAGATTTCATTGCTTCATTTGTTTAAAGCCCCAAAGGGTCTTAACTCTGAATAAAATATGAGTTAATGCCTTTTAATATAGCTCCAAATATAAACTTGTTCTCTTCAAGATTAATCAAATTCTGAGAATGAAGCACACCCCCCAAAATCAAATGAGAGAATGAGAGAGAGAGAGAGAGAGAGAGAGAGGGTAAACAAAAAATGTAGATAGCATGTTCAACAATAAAATAAAAAATAATAACTAAAAATAAATTTGTCGATATTTGATATGTCACCATTAATTTTTTTTTTTAAACCAAGGATAGAGCTCTACCAGCACAAATTTTGCAGAATTTTCATGCGTGACAAGATCTTGAAGCGAGCTATAAAATCATGAAATGTGAGACCAGCTGGCGGAAATCATATCCATCCGAGATGACACTTTCGTAGACATATGCAATGATATAGAGAGCTATTATGCTACTTGAATGTCCCAAAGTCTGATAGTGCTCAGCAACTGTTTGTCATTTACTGCATGGGATCCTTCTAATAAGATAGCAGTATACAGTGCACATCTCTCTACAAATTGGGCATTTCTCATCAGAGTGCCGGCATTAAATTGGGTGACGTATTGGCCCATCCATGAAAGGGCAAGTTCAAGGTTGAACTAGACAGTCAATATTAAATGTCCTTTAAGGGAGAGATGAGAGGAAGGACATACATCTCATACATCCAATGTTGAGCTGATGCGGGACTACCAAATTTGGCATTCATAAGGCTCATGCAGTGTATTCAGAAATGGTGGAGTTGGAATTATACCTGTAGAGAATTCAACAACCTCCAAATTTTACTCCCAAACATGTTGAAATAAATTAAATTGGGATGTAATCCAGGTCAGGGGTTGAAAAGAATTACATAACTCATTAAAACAACTTTGTATACACTGCTGCTATGAAGAAGGAGTAGAGATATGTCATATTTGGGAAATTGTCCCAACGCTTTTTAATATCTATTTACTTAATTTTGTTCATTATACTTTTTAAAATGTTCATGTTTTCAGATCTACCTGTGTGAATTACGCATGAATGGGAATTAAACAGAATTTGTCCTGCAATGGAAGTTTACAAGCAATTCATTTTGTGCATAAGATTGAGTTGACCTCTACAATTCCTGACTCAACTGATCTGGAAAAAGTGACCTGTACAAGTCATATTAGTATAAGATGTCCCACTAAGTGTCTTTTTGGAGACTTGCCATTGTCAATGATCTTGCTTTGTTATTCTTTGATCTTCTGTTTGCTTTCTTTTGGCCTACTTCCTTTGCCTTAATTTATGCTTCCTGTCAGGTACTTACAATAAGTTTGGTTCAAAGTAGAGAAAGCACTTGAAGAAAAAAAAACTATGATACTGTAAGCTGTCTTCTCAGCTTTGACTGACAAAGATTGTTGACTTACAATGGTTAATGGATGTAGGAACGCTCGACTCTATTCTTTCAACCAACTCCATAACTAAACAAACTTAAAACAAACAACCATTAAGTCTTCACATGGAAGCATTTTTATCTCTGCCGTGTGTATTATAACAATAGCTGACATGCGTTTAATTCTCATTCTAAAGTTAAATGTTGTGCGACTGGTCTGCTCTGAGCACCATTATCACAGACCACCAACTCTACCTGAATACAGGAATAAAAATACAGATACTCTATAGCTCTTTGCTTCCCATTGGCATTCACTATAAATGCAACCCCATCAAAGTGTTTTAATATTGGAAGCGGTGTTCCTGGACTTTGCAAAGCTTTACATTTCAAATAACATCAGTGACCCTAAAAAAATAAGGCCAGTGAAAATGGACAGAATGCCAAAAGGAAAAGACACACAATCCAAATTTCTCTGTAATCATTTTCTCTGTTTCACTTTAGAAGGTAAGGTCATCCTATAACGATTTGAACCATATTTGGCAAGCCCTCCCTTTCCCCCTTTCTTTCCCTTCCCTCTCCCTTCCTCCATACGGCCCCTTCCCCTTTTTATACTATATCCTATCCTTTATTTCACATCTAAAATAGCCATAAAGCCACCCTGATATAGGTTTCAGTTTCACTTCAATAATAATTATAAATTCAGAGCCATATTCAAAAGGCTGTATACCTCCCGTACAATTGTGTGTTTAGACTCAAATTTGGGGAAAATGCAACACAAACTACAGGTATTCCATGACTTGACAGACCACATACATGTATACATGTAGGCCTTAGTGCGCATGCTTCAATATTTCTATGGTGAACTTGTTCTAGATATTTCCATCATCTAAATTTCACAGAATGTCAATGATTGAATCCAATGATATCCATTTAATTTGAACTGAAACATGCATTTCAATGCATAATCCTTAAATCTCTTTTATCTTTGTTATTTAGTACTTTTTTTGAATAGTTAAAATGGGTTTAATAGGTGCAACCAATAAACTGCACGTAGATGAAAACATAAACTTGGGTTCATGAATATTCATGAGGATATGCAGCAAGATGGAAGATGTTTTTGAAAGAGAATACGTACATGAAACGGAAGAGCATGGTCACATCCATCTTGCTAACGTAAGGAAACACCTTGAGGTTAAAAAACAAAGATATCTCGTCCTCTAGGTGTCGCCCTCCTGAGATATCATTAAAACATCTTCTCTCTTTTCATCACCACACAAAAAGTCTTCAGCCTTCAGTTTTTTTCTTTTTCAGTATTTTGTTTCCCATTGAGACATTGATTGTTCCAAGAAAACCATGACGGTTGATATGATAATGAGAGCCTCTTGACTGTTTTTTTGAATAATTAGGTCTCTGGCTTTCAGATATGGAGATGTACTTCAAGTCAAGTCATAAGGTGTTGGATTGATGATGAAAACATTTCAATACAATGAAGAGTTTCTTCCATACTTTCAGCAATGAAAACATCATTTTCTTTAGACTCGTTATACATTGCTCATGTGGAATCAGCAGATAATTCTTTTGAAAAATTTCGCAGTGGAAATGTCATGGTGTTCTAGAGTCTTCTAATAACTGTATAAAATCATTAAAACTGGACTTGAATGTATGTTCACTCTATGCAGAAAAGCTTTTCACATTCATCAGATTAATAAAGAGCACCTTCAAGCTCATTATTTGTAAGGAAATCTTATAAATAATGCCAGCTCTTTGGAAACACTTCCTTCAATTATTTTCATTGTATTGACTGCACAAAGAACAGCTAATCATGTTCACTTCTTTCAAGAGATTCATTCAAATCAGCTAGCAGCTGTGGTAAAAGATGACATCCCCTCATCACCATGGATACTCAAGAATATGAACGTTCCATCTTCCGAAGTAGATTTCATCCCTTGAATACAGATGATGATCATTTTTTTGTAATCAAGAGCTACATCATTTCATTGATATATTATTGAAGTCAAAACTAACCAACGTCAATACGCATTTCATCACTTTTGATCCATCAGAGAAAAAGGTGGGAAATATCCACGGTATCGCTTCCTGAATCAATTTTTAACCGTTGAAGATTCTGTGAAGGGGGTGTCCCTAGTTCATGCAAATAGAGCCCTACACAATGAAATCATCAGGCATGTAGGTCAAGTTGGTCAACTGACACAAATAATAAATTGCTCCTTTTCTGGTCTTAGGATGAACTTGCACGTTTCTGAGAGATTTCGATTTCGATTTTAGTTCCATGTAAGAGAACCAGCAGCAATGTGAGATTTTCAGAAGTCACAGAATGGTCTCCAACATGACCAAGACAGGCAAATTATTCCCAGCCTTTTTGTGCACTAATGGATGAAAACAACTCTGCTTGTACAATTTCTTAGCATCGCAAAAGCGCACAATGAAGTACATTCAATGCCTGACATGTAAAGAGACAATGGATCGAAGGCAACAAAAACATAGAGTTACTTCCATTTCTCACAATAAATGCAGCTCGTTTCTCGTCTTCACACATATCTTTTCTCTTTCTCTCTTGACCTCTTTTCTTTCATTTTTACATATCTCTCACCTTTTTCCTCCAACTTTTTGTCATTCAAGGGAAGAAAAAAATCTATAGCGTAGCTGTCCCTGGTCATTTCTGTTGATTTTTCTTCTCAGCTTTTCACGATAAGTATGACATTTACAGCTTTTTGTGACGTCAGCAGCGAGAGAGAAAAAGGAGAATTTCCAAATTTCAAGGGACTCATTCGACTTGATTCTGAAGAGTCTTGTAAATGAGCATGGGTTTGGTCTTAACTGTAATCATGCCGCCAGATTTCTAGATATGCTGAGGCAGAAAGGAAGTCCACTAATGAATCAACAAGCAAGAGTTTTCTATATTTCTTGTTTTTTTAAAATTCCCAATGAAACGTAGGGCAGATTTATGAATTTGCGTCAGAGTTCAAACTCAACTTTTAAGAGTAAAGTGGGAATAGGTTTAATTTTTTTGCTCTGACTTTCAAGGAATGGCTTTGTGTCCTTTGGGCAGAATCCCACTCTCTCTTTTCTCTTCCACACGCCATCCATTCTCTCCCCTGTTCTTGCTCGCTCTCCCTCTCTCTCACGCTCTCTCTTTCTCTCTCACTCTTTTTTTCTCTATCCACCCCTCTCCCGCTCTCTCTCTCTCTCTCACTCTAATGCCAACACATATTGTCAACAGAAGATGCAGAAATTTACCATTATTCTTATAAAAATCAGTTTAAATGCAAACTATTTTCCTCAATAAATTACATATTTCCCCCCAGCTAATAGAAATAATAAAAGAAAAACCTGAAAAAAGTCAACAGAACTTACCTCCCTCTCCGTACTAGTGACAGCTCCTTCTGAAAATCAAACAAAAGCGGAAAAAGTGATTACTTGATTTGCAACTAAAATATCTTGTCATGTAGCCACTGTAGTTATCCACACACATGGATTATAGATCAATATGATTTAAAGAAATCAATCAACTCTTTTAGCATTTTTACTTAAATTCAAATTTAGGATGTTAGTCAATATTTCTACAGCCTTGAATTCTGGTAAAATTTAGAATTCTCCATGAAAACGAAATGGAGATCATAAAGCTTTGTTTTAAACAAATCATTTATTTGGGATATGTTTGACTTCTTAGTGGATTACAAATCACATTAAGAAGATGTATTTATATTTCATTTCTCCTTCTATTTACCAATACTGCACTCCATATTTTCCTTTATTTGCTTGAAACATACCACTCCTAAGTGTTTCGATTCATTTTCTTATGTCATAGCTCAAAATAAATGTAAAGAATAACCCTTAATGGTCTTTCACACGCATTGCACATTAGCCTGTAATATTCCCACAGGAAACCAAGGTTGAAAGTAAGGTGAATGGAATCTGAGGAAAAAATATGGAGATAACTTTCCACACTGAAGGAAACTATATAATGTCATGATCATTTACTGAGAGACAGAAGGGAGTTCCGTCAATGGAGAGTATTACAGTGAACGCCATTCTGGCTCTCAACAGATAAGACCATTATCAGATGGAGGGAAAAGCCATATCCTGAGGATTTCCCATTTGTGATAGGGATAGGAAGTGTTGCAATGACCAGTAATAACAATCAGAACTACTTCTATCGTGATGGAATTTCATTGATGTTTTGTAATGTTCATTTTTCCCCTATATATTTCACAATACAATGTTTCATTTTCATAAATGAGCTAATAGTAGATTGATGGAGAAAAAATATCAATACAGGAATACGATGTAGTTAAATATGTAGCCATAGATACACTGAAGTCAATGTACAATACATGTTGATGCTTGAATTGCAAAATTGCGAAAAGGAAAAACAAATATTGATAACAGGACAGCCAGACGGACAAATAATTACATACAGATAGAAGGACAGATAAATGAAAATCAACATTAGGTAAGGTTAAAGGATGGATAGATGGAGACATGAAACATTTAACAGCTATTAAACAGATCTCTTCAAGATAATCCTCAGATAAGATGGTCAAAGAAGGACAGACAGAAGGTAAAGATAATTTATGGACTTATAAGAATACTATGTGAGAGTCAATAGTAAACACTTTTTTTTTTTTTATAGCTCTCAACAGAAAAATACATGTTAATCATCTGTTCTGAGCAAGAAGGGCATTGATTCAAATGCTGAATCACATAGCACCTTGTGGCTCTGAACAGATGAAATGTAGTTAATCATATGGAAAAAGAATTTGTCACAAATTCTGTAGGATGATATGAACATGTATGGTAAATATCTGTACCTGAGCATTTGTATTTAACAGTTTGCATGACCTCAAGGTTGTGTTATAGGACCATTACTTTTCAGGAAAGGTTGGCAATCATAGACTGTTTACATTACAATGACATTGATAAGAGTGTGTGTCCATGCTGATCATGTTCCTTCCTGTATGGTCTACATGGTCATGTCTGATTGGTAATTTATAATCCTCACATTAATGTCATTGAGATGAGATAAGCACAACATAGAAGATGCAGGGAAGAACGTAGCTAGTCTTCAAAAACAGACCTCAGATACTAAAACTCAACATAACTATTTGAACCAGAATACTCAAGACGTCTTAAACTTGAGCTGCAATAAACATAGAATCTAAATAGGTTATAGTGAAATGAAACATTCAGGAAAAAATAGATTAGGTTCTCATGGTTAGAGCTCCATGTCCCATCATATAACCAACATTTAACATCCATACAGACATTTATCATGTACATATGAGATTAATTTCATGAAATGCTACTGTAATTTGAGTTAGGGTAAGGTATCAGCCGCTGAACATGTACTGTATATCTGTTTACACGACACGTACCATAAAAAGTACTTAATTAGTGCCCTATTCATATGCTTGTTTTTTGTTTTTATTGCATCTCTCTTGTTGTTATACATGTAAGTGGAAATTTAACTAGTCAAATGTTTCTTTTTTCAAATCTTTAGTTTACAGTGAGAAGTTTCTGGTAAACAAGGCTCTGATACAAAATTTAAAACTCAGACAAAAAAGAAATTCATAATTACAGACTGTGTTGTCAGTAGTATGTGGATGTTGTTTCTCCAAATAAATTATCAGCTGATGTCATTTATCATGATGATGAAGAAGACGAAGATGATGGTGAAGATGACAATAGTGAAGATGATGGGTATTACTAAAATATTACTACAACACATGTATACATCTACTATGAATACATACTAACCCCAAAAGGAAGATGTGAAGGGGGAAAAGAAGATCTTTTCTTTACCTTGTAAACAAAAATAAACTATATATTATATATATCTAAGTCACTATGTAACAGATGAAGAGAGTTGCAGATTTGACTTCAATAACAGGGATGAAATTCTGTAGGAATTCCTGCAAATTGGTGCAACTGGAATTTTTTTCTTTATTTCTTTATTTTCTGAAGACGTCATAAATTGTCATGGTCCAATGAAAATAAAATCTAGTTTGCAACATCTGTTTGATTCTTGCAATTATTCTTCCTTCAATAACGTCATGCTATTTCTGACAGCATTAAAGAATCTGATAACCACAGAATAAATCAGCATTGGATGATATTGGGCTTTACTTAAAGGGTAGGAAAATAAATTTTACATGCTTTTACAACAAAAGAATTAAAGACTATCTACCGGTATACATGTAAGTTTGCTATCAAATACACACACAAAAAGTAGTGAATCGGATTTAAGTAAGAAACAATCATGAAGCATGCAAGAGATTTCATTGTGGCACCAAATATGTAGGGATTGATTACAACCTACTGGTCCTATGCACTGTTGGTCCTACATATACTATTCTTTCTATAGTTTACACCATTTGGCCTTGTTCACATGCAGCACAGTAAACTGTGGTGGGTTACCATGGTATATGTAAACAAGCCTTTAGGAGTATAGAAGTTAGGCTTATGGTAGTCCAAATCCTAACATTAAACCTAACCCTAACTACAACGTTAGAAACAACCCCAACCCTATCTGTATATTATGCCCAAATATGGAATCAAAGTTGCTTAGGACCAGTATGGCATCTCCTATAAATATGACTATTGAAATTTGAAGAGATCAATTTTCTTGCTACTCACCAGACTAGCTGACAGTGAAGGTGCAGACTGTCCTAGCAGCGGCCTCATCCTGGTAAGATTGCTACCAGAATCCCCTCCTAAGGTCAAGGCATTGGTCGTACTGGACTGATAGCCGGTGGAACTTCCTACGCTCAAGTGGAACGGTCCCATCATTGCTGCTCCAAGACTACCGCGCCTGACATAGCGACTCTCGTCAATGGAGAGGGGGCGGGCTAGTTTGAAACCGCGGGGTAAGGATGTGGCGAATCCAGCGCTCTTTGGTTTGGGGCTATGCAGTGAGTCGAGGGTCAGTCTGCCACAGTCCTCACCATCAGACTGTAGGAAAAGAAATGGGGAAAAAAAGAAAAATAATGATTATTGGTCCCTGAATCGGTGCTTAATTATCTGGACATGCAGAAAAAGTTGTTACCTTTTAGCCTTCTGATGCGTACTCATTAAAGAGATATCCAATACTGCACTTCCTAAGCATGAAATTTGAAATATATATATCTCACACATGATATCATTTCTGCTGACTTTAACCTTGAATATTTATGCAGGTAATCTCAGATAATACATAAACCTCATTAACACTGCCAATAATTGTTATCCTTGAATCCAAACAATTAATCGTCAATTGAGAACAAAAAGGGAATTAACTCTGTGTAAAATGATAAAACTCAACGTCCTTCTAGTTCTCAGCAAATGAAATGTAAGTTGACTTAATTCATCATGTGACACAAAGCTACTGCTACAAAAAGAAAAAAGAATATTCATAATACATTCCCTCCCCCCAAGCCAACAATCCTAGAATCTGGGATACATGTACTTGTATCAAATGCTGTCCGATGAAGATGTGGAATAACTGCTAGGAGATATCGCCAGTAATATAAGAGATCAATGTCACATTGTAATAGCTACAATGTCTCTATTATGAATTCTTGCTGTATGGTAATATTGCAGTTCACATTGAAATCAGGCTGAAATCAATCAACGATATTTTCCTCCACTTAACACATCAATTTTCAAAACACTGTAGGCTACTATGGTACAGAGTACCTAATAATAGTACATCTACTACAACTTTAAATTTAAGTAGGACATGATTATGTAGGAGTAATATGTTAACATGTATACTGTACATGTGTACTGGTCTGCTTTATACAATTTATTACATGTACATATGTGCGTGTCAGGAGAATTTGTGCACATACTATTAACTTTGGTCCATATTGGTGCACAATGAATGTATTCTTGGAATCATATATATATATAAATAAACCTTACATTTACACTACTGCAAAGATGGTTGAATGAAATGATTTCGAATTAGGGAGCATTCCTTCTTCCCGTTCTAAGTCTCATAATAGCTATTGACAGGAGCTGATAACTCTATTGATAATCACCTTTCATCATTAGCAGATATCTCCCATTTCATTATTTGGTAATTCTAATAATATACCCTATCCATTCTTAAGTATCAATTTCCTACTGTCCTCTGATTACCAATAAAACTAAACTAAATTACAATGAAAAAGATTATCACATCATCAGAAATGGTATATACCACTTTAAATGTCTAGTTCATTATGAGCAATAAATCTTGTCTCGAAACCGCTCTGCATGACCGCTAATAGCACTTTGACATTTATTATCCCTGGTTCATGAGAAACTCAGACAGTGATTAATTAATAAGATTGAAAGTGATTTCTTCAAGACCCGGGACTATACACCGCATAAGAAAAAAAGAACACTGTCAAGACGTGGGACGGGTTCGGACTTTATCAACTCCAATGTAAAAAGAGTCTTTCTGATGGCTGTAATCTAATATTAAACATAGAAGGGAGATACTGCAAGTTAAGAATAAACATGGTTTCAGATTCCCAGCATCAAAGATTATATACATTAAAAAATTGCATTTAATTTGTTAGCTTCAGCTATACTATGACCTTGTTTCACTTCATGTGATACTGATATTGTAGGAACTACCAATCAAATACCAAACATTCAGATATAATAATGATAATACTCTGGGTCTATATAGCAATGAATTTATATACGATATATCTAATTACGGCAAATTTATAAGCTCAAATGGTAAATGCCACTATCAAATTTACGATTCAAAGAACAAAGAACGATGCCAACAGAATAACAGAAGGAACACACCTTTGAACGTATGCAAAGACAGATGCAAAGAGAGGATGTGAAACACGTACATGTATGGTAGAAAACATGTTTTCTTGCCCTCGTTAGAAAAAGAATGTCAACATGCACTTGGGCACACATTGTATTTTGAGCGCAAAAAGGTGATAAACTCAATGTTGAGGGTTGAGATAGCACCCTTCTTACTCTAAGAGGATAACTGAATACAGGTGTTGTCAAATGAGGCAAGGGGATATTACATAGTGTATCTAGAAAAAGGAATTACATCATGATGCCTCAATCTTTGTAATTTCAGTGTATCTGTGAAAAAGAATTACGTCATGATGTCTCAATCTTTGCAATTTCAGTGCATCTGTGAAAAAGAATTACGTCATGATGTCTCAATCTTTGCAATTTCAGTGTATCTGTGAAAAAGAATTATGTCACCATGTCTCAATCTTTGCAATTTCTGTGTATCTATGAAAAAGAATTACGTCATGATGTCTCAATCTTTGCAATTTTGCATTTCATTTGTGAAGAAGGGCATTAACTCTGTATGTAAAAAAATATGAGTTAATGTCCTTTTGGCTCCAACCAGATGAGATGAAAATTCAGAATATAACACCATATATCACAAGCACAAAGGTGCACAAATCACTGACAGTTGTCATGACTGAATCTGAATATCTGCATTTTGATCAACTAATAGCATTCCCATCAAATAAAAGTAAACATCTATGGAATTTGCATTAAGTACTCTTATTTTGGATAACAAATGAAACAGACAATATTTTCAAGCATAAGACCTTTTTGTATTCAATTAATGTTCTCACAAATTAAAGGATAAATGTGCCCATGTGTAGTGGGCTAACCTACAGAACAAGCTTAATGTTTGGATGATTGGCTTTAAGCTTTAAGCATTAAAGATGATTAAGTGTTGAGACAGACTCTTTGACATTAATTTAGATTCAATTAAATTAAGGGTTGAGAAAGGGGGCATGTGCATGTACACAGAATACAAATTAACATGCAAGTATGCACTGTAAAGGTATTAACCATCAAAGAATAATACCAATCAATAAACACAATAAAAATGCCGTTCTCAAGGATGACAAAGATGATCCCCCCCCCCCTTCACATCTTTGATGCTGATAAAATCAAAATACTATTACCCATACAAAACTATTTTCATACCCGCTGGTTGAACTTCATCAAGCACTTAGTTTTCCCTCTCTGTAAACATTAGTCTTCATATTTTCATGATGTACGAATTTCCGGAAATAATGTTTGCGTGAGCACCCATTACATTGCAATATCAAGGTATACATCAATACATTTCCGGCTCTTCACTAGCCTTTCCTATCATATGCTCTGTCCCATCTTCCATTATCTTTATCTGTGTTTATCATCATCTAGATACATCTATTTGATCTATTCATGCACCTGTCTCGTTCTCTCAATCTCCCTTCCAGCACCCCTCTCCCATTCTCTCTCTCTCTCTCTCTCTATCTCTCATTCTATCTCTAGCTCTTCATCCCCATCTCATTTCTTTTTTCTCTCCTCTTCCTCCCTCTTGTCATCCTAATTCTCTCTACACTTTAAAAAAAGAATACATAATCGTATTATGTTCAATTTACATCTCTTTCTTGTATCTCATTTTCCAGATATCAGCAAAAGTTTCTCTCAATATGAGATGAACTTAAATATCATCTGTTGTCTAGCATTTTGTTAACCTATTTAGTAGCAGGATGAACGGTAGACGATATAAGTTAGGAAGCGCATTGGTTAGATTCATGGAATAGGTAAACTTGATATATCAAATGCTTTAAAATGGCATCCCATTCCCTCTGATGCATGTGGGTGTATTAATTGAAACCACATATTACAAAGAGATAGACGAGACAGTTACTTATCCCGGAGGATCCGCCTCGGAGCCATTTGGTGAAAAACGTTCCCTTCTCTTTCCCCCTTGAGCATGTAATTAGATATAGGTTATTGTTTGAAAGACAAAGTTGTTTACCAGACAGTGTTATCAATCCTGTCAATGCCACACCTGATATCACAGAGTGACAGAACGGATGGGGCATGTGTAACATGAAGACAAACACAGCATCCAATATATGGGGCTACATACACGCAGAGAGGGGGAAGATGGCATAGAAATATATGCCTAGGGAAATGAGTCAATAACTATTGTTCTGCAGGCTTCAGGTCCTCTGCCAATTATGATCATTTACAAAAATTCTTTTCCTTAAGTTCCTCAGGTAGATCTTTCTTACGTCAAAGGCGACTGGCTGAATTTCTAGATCAAATTTTAGGAATTTAGCTCATATTTTCGAGATGATTGCCCACGTGCAAATGCCAATAATGGTTTAATGAGTTCAAGTTAAACGTCATTGACTCGATATATGTACGTCAGTAATCAGTCAATTTATAAATTTGTGTCATGCATGTTTTCATTTTTACTTTACCTACCAGTATTCACACAATGATTTTGATAAAAAGCTAAAATTCGCCAAATCAACGCCCCATTTGCATACTTATTTTTTTTAAATTCAAATGAATTTACAAATCACTGAAAAGCTCACACAGTATTATTGACAGAGAGTAATAAACTACTACATTACCACATATCTTTCATGTACATGTATAGTGTTTAGAGGGTAATGTACGGTAATGCCTACCCGGTACCTGTATTTCTGATAAAAAATAAATGGTAAGGACGATCAATATTTTTTTCTTGATCTAGTTCATGATCTAATATGGCAGAATAAATGAGACTAGAGAGGATGTTCATGTACCAGCACATACACATGTATAGCATTATTAAAGGAACATTGTTTGCCTGGAATTTAGGTTAAGGGCACATTGCAAGCTCAGCTCCGTGCACAAAGGAGAACAGATCGAAGGCGGACAATATGGAGAGACGGGAGAGCTGAACTCATGTTACGCTGTGTGACATGACTCATAAGCTGTGTTCATATTACAGATGTATGCATCTTTAGGAGAATTATTGTGACTTTTTGGTTTCATAAAAGCTTGATATTCAACAAGTTGACAGGCTTGTTCACTTCAAATGGAACTGACCTTTGAATATCTGACAGTAAAAAATGCTAGCAAGGAAACAACATCTCTCTGACACTCTTCCAATAAGAAATACTCGTTTCTTTTCCATAAAGCTTCAAATTTAC